GGATCTGAACCACTGACATGCGCAATGACTCGTTTCTGAACAATTTTACTTCCGGTAGCCGTAGCAGCGCCAGCCGTAGTGATTTGCTTAAACTCCCTAATGCTAGATAATGCTGCAACAGTTCAACAAACGTGTCTGTTACGTACTTTATTAACTGTCAGATTTTGCCATCTGCTGTTTTCAGAGTTCGCTAGCCCGATCTGGCAACTGGACTACACTTTTAGTCAGAAGTACCCATCTCAGAGTGAGCTTCTCGACGCCGACAGAATCAACGAACTGAATGAACAACTTATAAACCAAACAAGTAACAAGGTCTGGAAAGGATACGCGTTCTCGCGCGAGACAAATTATCAGCCGGAGCCATATTCTAGATTTCAGCTTTACTGCGGAATGCGGTTTGTTCATAAGGAGGATTTCCAAAGATGTATTGAAGAGTATAATGTCCCTGGTGGTTAAGGCAATTTTTAGTTGAATGACGAAGATGATCCACATTCCACTGCTTTTGTTTTAATTCCCTCATGTGATTGGTTAGAAAAAAAAAAACTCGCGCTATCCTCTAAACTAATCAGATGCAAAAAGAACTGCCACATGGCCAATCGCATTTTCCGGCGCCCTGTGGTTTGCTTTTTTCGTTTTTAATCGCCACACGCTCCTAGTTGTGTTCTCGTCCGCTCTGTTCGGCCCTTGTGATTATTTTGACTTTGTTGTAGATGCCCGAAAGTGTTTATCAGTCCCAGCTTCTTTTTCATGTTTCTTCGTTATAAGGACAAGGAGACCGTCATGGAAGGAAGTAATCAAAGCGTTTTTTTTTTTTCAAGGAATTAATAATTTGCAAAAAGAGTGCTTTCTATTTTTCTTCCTGAAAAAAATACGAGGTTTTTAGCGGTAAATTCTGGGGAAACTTCTCCAGCGATGTTTGTTTTAGCTTTTGTCCGTGGGGAGAAATCAGTTTGCTTGAGACCCAGATGGTTGAGAACTTTGTGGTCCATAACGACTATTACGTCTTTCACACCACGAATTTTTCAAGTTTACTACTCAGTGTTTGAATTAATTAAAAAAATGGTACATGTAGGAAATGACACATTTAAGTTTTATTAGATTAATAATTTAACAAAATTTTAAACTTTTAACTTTGCAAATAAAATGTACATATTCAAATACCAATTTTCTAAGCATGTAAAAGGTAAAATTAAACTTACCGCAAACAAACAGGTGTTCTTTAATCTCCTTTCTCGTTCCAGTTTTCAATATTTCTATCATACTCTCGGTGTCGATAGTTCTTTTGCGCATGTGCCGGAGCGTATGACTGATTGCGTGCACACTCCAAATATGATACTGATCAGAAGATTGGCTTCGTAAACACCTCCAATCAAGCAGAGAGCAGTTGAGTTCAACACAAAACTCACTGAACCAACATTAATGGAAATGTATATGGCAAGCAGATAGGAGAATTAATAATGTTCAGATCGCGGGGGCGAGGAGAAACCGGTTGGGAAAGATTAAAGTGTAATACGCGACGTAAATGTAAATTTTACTACTTGGTGTGTTGCTGAACTGAACTGTCTCGATACATATTTTCAAAGCTCTGGCAACACCCACCGAAGAAAAGGTTGAAGTACCGCAATATTCTGTTGGTTAAACGATGATCTAGTTCAGCCATTCGCTGTTTAATCTGCTCGATTTCATTTCCCAATATTTGCTACAACTTTTAATTTTCATTCTCAGAATATTTTCTGTTGCTGCTCAGAGCTTTAGTTAAAATGTGCTGTCAAAATCCGATGCTTGGGGAAAGCGCCTAACTACCGTTTTATAAATCAATTACAGCGGGGTAATTTTCTCTTGTGCTGTGGTGTTTATTGAAGGCTTTTTAAAGCTGTATTGCATCAAAATCCGATAGGCACAAATGTTTATCTGACTTCAGGATTAATTCAGTTGAGACAACAAGCTTTGAGTGCTTTTCGGCGACTTACAAAAATATCGTTTCAGATTTTTTGTTGCCACGGATTCAAAAATGTTAATTTAAGACGAGTTATTATCGGCAATCGTAGACTTTTCCTCTTGAATTCGACGAGTTCCCATTGGTTTCCCTTACGACAGAGTCAAGTGGAAATAATGAAAAAGAAACCACAGAGCCGAATTCTATAAAATGCGAATAAAAGAAAAAGAAAAAACCCATCAAGTGCATAAATAAGAGCGAGAAGTTAGTCGCGAAAGAGAATATAACTGTCATCTGCAGAAACCGATAAGGCAAAGTGTAAGTTTATTCTTCTTGTGATCATAGAGGCAGTGTAAGTTTCATATTTGACTTACTTCTCAAGATGCCTGTCAATGCAAATGAATCTTAACTTCAACTTAATTTATCAAAACTACCTTTGACAGCGTCATCCTATTTGTAGCGTTCATGAAAAATGACATCATAAAGGCGATTCGCGGCCACGAATTTTCAGATCATGTACTTGTTGACTCGCTGAGAAAGGCGGATGGGATTACATCTGGCCTCTGGTGTTGACGTGCGAACCGAGCGCAGCGTCCAGCCCGACCAAACGTAGTCAATAACTATTTGATTGTCTTTTGTCCTTTCCTCTTTCAGGTCGCATCTCGCGGGGCTACACGGCTTTTCCGTCTCTGCTCACGCAGTCGCATACGGCCCTCACTTGGTGAATTCTACGGTTGTGACTTACATGAATACTCCAAAATCAGGTTAAGTCCGAGTAAGGACTGGAACCATTATTGCCTATTACTTCATTATTTACACAGCTTCAATGTAAATAAGTGACAACTTTTTTAATTCTGTGTATAATAAAGTTATTTATTTACCGAAAAATAAGCATGCGTATCCGAGCTCAGTGCGAGTTCGTTGTCTGAGCAAACAGTCATGCTTTAGTACACCAGTTCAAAATCTGTTTAAAATCGGTTATAAACCTCTGCTGACATAAAACCGGCGAGGAAATGTCTAAACCTACAGAAGAAGTCAACCTTGATTCAGACGATGAAGGAAACTGAACAACCTGAAAACCCTCCAAAGAAGATCTTCGTGAATGACGATCAATGAGCCTCGGGATCGGCCGTGCCACCCGAGCAAACCACAACTTCAAACAACGAAATGGCCCTCCCAACATCGGCTATCCGTCAACTCACAGAACACTTGATGAGCAAAGAAAAGACTTCGAAAACCCCTTCCGTGAGGGGAAAAGGGAAAGGGCCGGTCAAACGACATGCAACCCAGGCAGATCTTCCCGCCAAAAAACGGCGCCATGTTTGCTCCTCGAACAAAGGGCATGCTGACGACGATGACCGCGACCCTGAAAAATTGATGATGAGATCAATGATGAAAACAATGACTCAGATCCGACTGACAAAGAGCTCGACTCTGATGATGTGGATGAAACGTTGGCCGAACTCCAAAAAGAGTACGAGTCAGATGACACCCCTGGAGCCAAGCTCCAGCACAAACAGCTTGCTAAGCTAACTGACGAAATGCGTAGACATCATATGTCTGATAAAGCATTAAAAGATAAGCTGGGTCGCCAAGAAAGGCCAGAAAACTGCAAAAATGCTAAGCCTACCAGGGTTAATCAAGGCATCTGGCGAAAGTTCAGGGATCACACTAAAAAAAGTGATGCACAAATGTATAAAATCCCACAAGCCCTTATAAAAGGCATTTTACCAGTCTTACGTATGGCTGACCTGTTCATGACAGGGAACCTGAGCAATGACCAACTTCAAACAATGAAGAAAATGGACCTTGAGGCCCTATCGCTGCTATCACATGCAAATTATGAGGTTAATGTGCTGCGGAAACAACTTACGGAGTCAGACATAGGGAAGGATTATACATACCTATGCTCAGTCTCAGATTCCCTTCTCTGACACGCTATTTGGAGACGACCCGTCCATAAGCAACTGAAGGATAATGGTGACCAGAACAAGATTGTTGCCAAAATCCAACCCAAAGACTACCACAGCAGTAACTACAATTCTTATGGTAGCCAGTATTCTCACATGAATTAAAAAAACTTTAGAGGCCAGGGTTTTAAGCCCTGGAAAGGGAAAGATGGTCAAAAACAGAGAACAAATCATCGACAACAGTCGAAATCGCCCTAGAAAGCTCTAATGACCTGGTAAGTGACATCAATGCTAAATTACAGCTGGTAATATATCTAAATTTGTAGCTACCTGGAGGCTGATGACCTCTGATAGTACTATCCTTGAGATAGTAACTGGCTTTGACATAGCCTTTGGTTCAGAGTCTTTTTAAACTGTAGCTCCCCATATGCACTTCTCGAGAGGAGAAGAAATTATTGAAACAGAGATTTCTAAATTGTTAACTAAAAATGTTTTTGCTGAAGCCACTCATTGTGAAGTCGAATTCATCTCCACGGTCTTCACACGACCCAAGAACGATGGATCACACAGGTTGATTCTAAACTTGAAAAGGCTAAATGAACATGTGACCTATAAACACTTTGCGATGAAGTCACTTCAAACAGCTGCCCAATTGATTAAACAAGGCTCATGGATGGCAGTTCTCGACCTCAAGGATGCGTACTACTCAGTTCCTATAGTGATTGATCATAGAAAATATCTCAACTTGTATGAATTTACTTGTTTACCCAATGGGCTATCTAGTGCCCCAAGGTCCTTCGCTAAACTTGTGAAACCAGTTTACGCCTCCCTTAGATCAAGAGGCTTCCACCTGGTGGGTTACATTGATGACATCCTCTTGCTAGCTGATACACCTCAGGAGCTTGATAAACAAGTTAGCAATACCATTAAATTGCTAAAATCCTTAGATTTTACTGTCCATGACACCATGATCAGTGACAAATCCATCACAACAAGTCAAATTTCTGGGATTCATTGTAAACTCCGTTACAATGGATATCACCATGGTCCCTGATAAAGTTGATAAGTTAAAAAATGCATATAGAAGTCTTAAAATATCAGGGACCTGTACCCATTAGAGAAGTTGCTTCTGTGGTAGGCCTCAGGGTTGCCTCATTCCCTGGAGTGTATTATGGACCCCTTTTCTACAGGTCCTTAGAGAATGAACTTTGAACTCTCATTTATTTCACACTATTAATGGCAGTTAGTATTTATATGAAAAATTGGAGAGAGAGAGAGAGAAGAATAAAAGTACTATTTGGCCATAAAGATAAGTTTGAGAGGTGCACGGTGTCCAAAGTAGCAAAAACTTTTCTAGTTGGACACCTTAATGGTCATATAAATAGCATCCTATAATAAAAATAAATCAGCAGTAAATTAAGTAAAATGATTAGGTTTTGTTGAACAAGGTTGAAGTTTCCATTTTTCCTAAGAGTACATCAGTAGCAAAGTAAAATGATCAGGTTTGGTTGAGCAAAAGTTGATGTTTCCATTCTTTTTTAAAGCTATTGTAAGGCATATATTTAAGATAAGTGGGTACGGTTTCACATATCTTTGAAGCAGAGAATATAAACGATGATTTTCCCATGTTGGTGGATACTCTTTGTCTAAAAATATTATTATTAGTAGTAAATCTTGTCTTATAATTATGTTTTTCAGATGCTGGGGTCAGGATATCAAGGAAGATATCTGGAATGCTATCCCCTTTAATATTAATCTTATATGCAAGGCAGCATATTCTGAATTTATAAATAGCATCCAACTTTAGAACTCCTTATAGTTTCTAATAGGGATTGGCACTTTCTCTAACATTTGCAAAGATGATGCTACGAAGACATTTGTTCTGCTTAATACAGAGGCATTTTAACTTAGTATTGGTGGCACACCCCCAGGTAGTTATACCATAGCTTAAATAGGGATATATCAAAGCATAGTATAATTAGTATAAACCAAACCCTAACCCCAGTGCCCAAGCAAAAGATTTCGGTTTTTCCTCTGATTAAAATTTATTTTCTGTAGCTCTGACTTACACCATTGGTAGGTGCGTCTTGTAAGCCACTGATAATCATGGCTATATTTATTTTCACAGGAGAAAAAGTCCATTTTCCAGTTGGCTGTACCAAGTTCATGTTCATAGAGCACCACTGTGGAGCAGTGGTGTTCATTAGTGTAAGGGCACTGTTCGCCAGTGTGAAGCAGTGTCCACCAGTGTGGAACAGTGTCTCGTTATATTCATCAAAAATATTTTTGTAATGGCTCTCCTAAGACTTGCTCGATTTCCGAGATGAGGTGCTGACATTGCTGTTCCACCTCAAAGCATTCATCTGTAAAATTACAAGAAAAGAAGCAGAGAACTTTACTAAATTCTTATCAAAATTTTTTACATCGCGAGGGAGGCTGCCAAATAGCCTAGGTAGCTTACCGGGTGTTTTCGTTCGCTCGAAGAAGTAAAGGCGCGGAGGCGTGAAAACAAACAGCGGAGCTTTGCTGCTCAACTCTTCGTAGCGCACAGAAAACTTCTGGCTTCGCAAGCTAGCCCTATAAGAGTCGATCTGTCACATCCATTAAGTTTCGTTCTCTCACCTTCCATAAGCTCTGCTAAGAATGGAATTGATTCTGGTAAAAGTACCATGAACTCCTCTCCGAGTTTTGCGTGGAATCCCTCTAGCACTTTGAGCGCTGCAAAACGAACCTGGAAGGAAAATGTTAAATAGTTACGCATTATTCAAACTGACTAATTGCTGGTCTACGTGATTGAATGACTGAATGACGAAATCAGAACGACAGAACAGAATGACGGAAGGACGGAACGACTGAATGACTGACTGACTGACTGACTGAATGACTGACTGACTGAATGACTAACTGACTGACTGAGTGACTACCAGACTACCTGAATGAACGACTGATTGACTGAATGACTGACTCACTAACTGGAAGACTAACTAAGTGTCCTACAGACAGACAGACTGACTAACTAACTGACTCACTATCAATTGACCTAACGACTGACTTGATGACTGACCAACTCCTAACCAAAGACCCACTCAATAGTCTCTTGACTGACTTAGTGAGGGATCAAAGTCTGCAAATCTACACTCACCGTTGAAGAGCTGTGCCGAGTCTTCAGTAATACTTGATAGTTCAGCGGTTTCCAGTGCGCATCACTTCCGGAGGCTACGGCAAACTGCGCGAGGCACGGGGCCAAGTGGTTCGCAAGCCGTTCTCTAAATGTATCTTCTCCTCCTGACATGTTTTCAATCTGATTAAAAAAGTTGGAGAGGAAAAAAATTGGACTACAGTCAACTACAAGAGATTAACTGCCAAACACTCAAATTCACCCGTCTTTTGCATGAGCTATCATAAGGTTTGTTACATGTCGTAACGTAACACTGTTGCGTAACATTCAAGAGACGCAAACATCACCTGATCTACAAGAGGCTGCATCAAACACTGGATACGATCGCTTTCCAAGAATCCGTGTGTGTCATACATGAAGCATTTGTGCAAACAATCCAACATGTAGTTTACCAGAAGGCAAGTTTTATACATGTTTCTGTTTGGAGACTCGTCCTGAAAAATTATTTCCGCTGAAAATAAACGAAAAAAGATACATTCTGATTCCTAACAAACTAATAAGCACCAATAATAACTAATTGTCAAAAAAATCTGTCTTGTGTGATGGCTGCTACAAAAGAACAAAGTAGGACTGGAGAATTCTGATCCTGAGTAGTGAAAATAAATAACGCAACTACCAACCAGAATTAACAAAAGTATCATAACGAGCCTAAAAGGACTAAAGTACAACTAACAAACTGCCTTTAGCGAAGGAAAAAGAGCGCGATCAAGTCGCAGTTGGTTTTGATTCACATCTGATTTGTTGTGGTGTTAACGAAAGTTTACTAGACATACCAAAGTACATAGTAATTTAAAACCGATCAAATACAGATTATTTTCGATACTAAATTCAAAATTGCGCTACAAAAAGATGCTTACCAGTTTTGGAGTTATTCGTAGCGTCTAGTAAAGAGGCACAGTTCTTCACAATGTAACCCGCAAACAGCACAAACAAACCTTTCAGTTTATTAGCCACGCTGAAGATAAACAAACATGGATAGTTAAAATTAGATACTTTCTCTTGCTTTACGTTCTTATTGTTACAAAGAGAGTATGCAGGACCGAGGCAAACGAAGAGAGAGACTTTGTGACAAACAATTAAGACGTGTGCACTTACCACAAGAACGCTGTGAAGGAACAAAGAGCACAAGTTTCTAAAGAAACTGTGCTGCTGCGTCGGTGAGGGAGTTCATGTATGACAAGATCATTTGGTTTTGTTAACTGAGGTGATAATGTGAATTGGCCATCGTAAAGAGTTTGTAAGGCTTACATTTCGAGTATTAGCCGTTCTCCTCGACGAAGGACTAACGCTCTAAAAACTCTTTACAATGGCCAAGACGCATATCAACTCATTAAAAAAAATAGAAAAACCAAATAACAAATAATGGAAGCTCCGACGGGCTCATGAAGAAGAGATTCATCCTACATTTGTCCAATTCACCACCCACCCA